TGGCAGTGGTCCAGAGGGTGCCTGGACCGGTCTACTCTGGTGACCAGCCTAGCAGATAACCTAGCTGTCATCATAGAGCCTTTGTCCAATGACAGTTGGAGGCAGATACAGAGATCCACGGGCAGGCACCAGGCTGAGTTGTGGGAATCCAATTCATGGGAGAGAGGAGAGATACTGCAGGCAAGGGACATTGAGATCATGATGGGAGGATGTGCAGAGATGACAGACCACACTAGTGGAAACCCATGAACTGTGGACTGGTGGCTGTGGAGCCCCCATGGGACTGGACTAGGCCCTCTGGATACAGAAGACGGTTGTTTGGCTTGAACTGTTTGGGGGGCACCCAGGCAGGGGGATTGGCATCTGTCCCTGGTGCATAAGCAGCCTTCTGGGAATCCAGTGCCTGTGCTGTGACATCTTGCACAGCCTTGGTGCAGTGGGAAGGGGCTTGGACCTGCCTAGACTCAGTGAGCTGGGAGACCTCGATTTGGGGGATGTGGCGATGCGGGGTGGCTTAGGAAAGAGGGCTGGGAGGTGGGAGGAGGGAGGAGGAGGGGTCTGTGGATAGCATAAGGAGTAGAAAATTTCTTAATAAAGAAAAATTTATAAACTATATTATTTCAGGAATTAGGTTATGAAAGTCAAAAGATTTTAATAAAAATACCCAGTGCATTCTATTGTCTTTAGAAAGACAACACTACAGTAGAGTTTGGCCAACCATGACACAGGTGGTAGTTCATTAATTTGATATATAAGACAATTAAGTAAAGCCATTTAAAAGTTTACAAAACACCTGAGAATAGAATGACTTGGATTTAGAGATGGGGTAATGCTAATGAATACATTCATAGTTACAATGACTAAAATTACACAGTGCCATCCATCCTACAAATCCAGTAGATGGAAAGATTACAGCCTGGAAGAATGACACCAACAGCTGCACATAATTAAGTCAGGCCATGCAACTCTTCTGCAAAGACTCTAACCTCACCCACCTTCAATAGCCAGGGGTTTCAAGCAGAATGGGAAGTACATTTTTCTACTTTCAATATAAAATGACTCTGTAAGTGCTGAGAATACCCAAGATAGGCCGTCCAAGCCCAGCTGACTTTCAGTAGTCTTTACTATAGGCAGAAGTAAGCCATGTGAAACATCTGATGGAAAGGGAAAAGCAGGCTCGGTGTACATGTGCAGACACTGAAACCCTGAAAGTCTGCTGGTGAAAGAGCATGTGGGTCCACATGGCTGCTTTGGAAAACCATCACAGTTATAGAAAAGGTTAGACAGAGTTACCATATGAGCCAGCAATTCTACTAAGTAGAATAGATAAATGAAATCCATGAGAAAGCCATACAGGTATAGTCAAAGCACCATATTTACAACAGTCCTGAGAAACCAAAAGGCCCATCAAATGACAAATGGATAAATAAAATAAGAGCTACCCAAGCAATCAAATATGATGTCAGGATAAGCAAGGCAAACACAACATGACACGAAATGGGTAAACCTTGAAAACAACTTTTTCTATATAAAGAAAGGCAATCACAAAAGAACATGCTTGTATGACTCCATTTATTTCCCATCCAGAATAGACAATTCAATAGAAACAAGGCGGTTGGTGGTTGAGCAGGACTGGGAGCTGGTGAAAGGAAGGCTGGCAAGGAACAGTGAAGAGTTAAGCAACAGTGAAAAGTTCTGATTTTCTTTCTAGGTGAAAAGGGGTTCTAAACTTGTGCTGATGGCTGTACAACTCTATAAACATACTAAAGGTACTGGGCATACCTCAACTGAGCGTGTGTGTGTGTGTGTGTGTGTGTGTGTGTGTGTGTGTGTGTGTGTGTGTGTATGCGCGCAGACATGGACATATAGGAGGGAGGGTACCACATACACAATTATGGTGTGTATATGGAGGTTAAAAGCCAATGTCAGCTGTCTTCCTCTTCTGCTCTCTATTTTACTTTTTGAAAAAGTTCCCTCAGTGAACCAGGAGCTCACTGACTGAGATTAGCTGGCCAGCAAACTTAGGGGATCCTTCTGTTTCTACCTGGCCAGTGCTGGAATTACAGGTACATACCACCAGGCCCAGCTTTTTACATGGGTGCTGGGTATCTGAACCCTTTTTCTCACGCTTGCACAGTAAGCACTTATTGACTGAGTGATCTATTGTTTAAACAACAACAAAAACCAAAAGGCATAGAATGTTACAGGGGCTAGAAAAACAAACCTGAAATTAAGCCTCCCTGGATAAATAAGATCAGGTTTCAAGTACATACTATGCAGTCTGTGGGCCTGTCTTATCTGGCCATCATTGAATAAACATGGATGTCCCACAACTTCAATTGGGCTGTGGAAACAAACTA